TAAAAATACAGAAAATTAGCTGGGCACAGTGGCAGGCGCCTGTAATCCCAGCTACTTGGGAGGCTGAGGCAGGAGAATTGCTTGAACCCAGGAGGTGAAGGTTGCAGTGAGCCAAGATTGCACCACTTCACTCCAGGCTGGGCGACAGTGAGATTCTGTCTCAAAAAAAAAAAAATCTCAAAGCCAGCAGAGACCAGGGACGGTTCACTGCACCCGAGTGACCTTGTCCAGAGATGTGTGTCCCCGAAGTGCATGCTCAGAGTCTGTGCAGGCCCTGGGAGTAGCTGTCCCTGCAGCGGGGCACAGACTCTGTGCAGGAAGATGCTGAATAAACAGCGCCTTCCCGAACAAGTTCCATTCTCAGTAGCCCATAGGTTCTCCCGTGGTTACATGTCATCTCTTCCCAGAGAGTCTTGACATCTGTGAGCACCTCCCCTCCCTCCACTCTATTGAGTCGATGAGCAGCTACAAGGGTCATTTATTTGAATGAACACAGAGAAATCAATTTAATCAAGCAAGGGAATGGAATGCAAATCCAAGGTCAAGAATGTAGCTGCTTCTTAGTTCTCCTTGTAAACCAAAAAGTATCCGAGACAGATCTCAATCAATTTAACAATTTATTTTGCCCAAGTTTAGGACATGCCTGTGACACAGCCTCAGGAGGTCCTGATGTCACGTGCCCAAGGTGGTCAGGCTACAGCTTGGTTTTATAGATCTTAGGGAGACATAAGACATCAATCAATACAGGTAAGATGTATGTTGGTTTGGTCCAGAAAGGTGGGACAACTGGGAGCCGAGCGTAGGGTGGAGAGCTTCCAGGTCATAGGCAGATTCAAAGATTTCCTGATTGGCAATTGGTTGAGTTGTTATCTAAAAACCTGGAACCAATAGAAAGGAATGTCTGGGTTATGATAAGGGCTTGTGGAGACCAAGGTTTAATCATGCAGATGAAGCCTCCAGGTAGCTGGCTTCAGGCAGAACAGATTGTAGATGTTTCTTATCAGACTTAAAGAGTCTGTTCTGTCAGGGTTTTTATTATTATTATTATTTTTTATTGAGACAGAGTCTTGCTCTGTCGCCCAGGCTAGAGTGCAGTGGCGGAATCTCCACTCACTGCAAACTCCACCCCCTGGGTTCAAGCGATTCTTGTGCCGCAGCCTCCCAAGTAGCTAGGATTAGAGGCGCCCATCACCATGCCCAGATAATTTTTGTATTTTTAGTAGAGATGGGGTCTCACCATGTTGGCCAGGCTGGTCTCGAAGTCCTGACCTCAAGTGATCCACCCGCCTTGGCCTCCCAAAGTGCTGGGATTACAGGCGAGAGCCACTGCATCTGGCCTGTTCTTTCAGTCTTAAGGTCCATGTTGACATTAATGGTAATGAGACATGGCCAACCCTCCCCCTCCTCTCATGGCCTGAAGTAGTTTCATAGGTTTACTTTGGGATGCCCTTGACTGAGAGGAGGGGTCCATTCAGATGGTTGGGGGACTTGGAATTTTATTTTTGGTTTACACTCTATTTCATTTTCCTCTCATTCTCTTTGTCCCCCCACCTTGAGAAAAGTCACCCCAGACTTCCTGCCATTCTGCAGATAAGTATCAGGTCTTGAATGCTTTCTTCCGTAGCAGCTCGAACTAGATGAGTAAGAAGCAGCTTGTCTGAGTCATCAATTTATCAACCAGAAACAAACTCAGGAAATGCGTCTTTAGCATCCCCACTACCCCCACCCCAACCACCAGGCCTTTCATGGAAAGTTTCCCATGGGCCCCCCCCCCTGCCCCCGAGAGACTCAGCAGGGGGCTCTCCCTAGAGGCCCTGGGCTGCTCCCACTGTCTGCTGGCCCAGGAAGTCCACCGAGATCACAGCTTTTTATAAACACACTTGAGATTCTGTTTCCTGAGTACAGTCGAGGTTCCCCCTCCTTTTTACAAGTTCAAGATACAGTACTTCGAAGTTCCACTGTAAATTCTAGATCCCTTGAGATTTTGTATGCTGGCCAAATACTTAGTTAGCACAACTCTGTCGGCCACATAAAGTGGAACAACCCTTACTGCCTGAAAAGGTTTGTTTGGTTGACAGCATACAGAATACCAGTTTTGTTTTCCAACTGGAAAAGCACCACCATATGCAGATGTGATTGGTAGGAAAATGGGTCTGTGGCTACACGGATAATTTTGGTGAATGTGCTAAGGGAATGTGCGTACATCGTTTTTCTTGTAACAGGTTCAGTGTGTGGGAGCTGTCCTGAGCAGTGGCAGTGTGGACGCTAGATGCCAGACCAGAATGGGGGGGGCTAGACCAGAAACCCAGAGACCTAGGTTCTCGTTAGAACTGAGCCACCAACCAGTGCTGTGGCCTGAAGGAGTCTCAACTTCTCTGAGTTTCAGTTTTCTCATTTGGTGTAAAAACTGCAGTTGCTTATCACGTAGGATTACTATGAGAATCAGATGAAATATATCTGTGAATGGAAACAGCTTAT